CACACCCACACACACACACACACACACACACACACACACACACACACACACACACACACACTCACACTCACACACACACACACACACACACACACTGACTCACTCACACTCACACACACACACACAGTCTTCTGTCTCACAAACACTCTGTTCACCTGCTGGTGTCGTTCTCTCAGGTATGAGGAAGCAGAAGTGCGGAAACAGCTGGAAGAGAAAGAGAGAAAGGAGGAAAAGAGTCGACGAGAAGAAAGAATTGAAAAAGATGGCCGAGCTTCACCAGAGAAGAAGGACAATAAGAAGGTGCAGGACTGGAAATCACATCCCTTTGTGTGGCTTCATCACTTGATTTGATAAGTGTATCTGGTGTATCATCAAACACACACACACTTCTGGAGATAATCAGCTCCTGAACTTTATGCTGCTCGAATAACTTAAAATGCACACACACACACACTCTCACACACACACACACTCATCTGACCCATCCTCATATTTCTACAGCATACTAGCCAATCTGAAATAATAGTGAAGTCAGCTTTTTACATGTTCCAAAAATCTATTTTCTAAATGCATCTTATTGTGAAAGGTTCATCTGTGCATGCTTAATTTTATAAAAATGTTTTTGACCTATCATAATGTCTAGTGAAATGACAATGACAAGTGTTATTTTAGTATCGAGATAATTTTATAGTTTTTTGTTTAGTAATTTTCCTATGTCTGTGTAGTTTTTAAATTTAATTTCAGTTTTAATTAGTGCTGTCAAACTATTAATCATGATTGTTCACATCCAAAATGTTTTTGTTTACATAATATACGTGCATGAACTGTATTTTGGATGCAATTAATCGTGATTAATCGTTTGGCACTAATTTTAGTACATGAAGTTAAACTTGATGAAAATGACAAATGGTGTCTCTGCAACTAACTTTGTTTTTATATATATATATATATATATATTTAGATTTATTGCAGTTATCATTTATTTCAAATAATAAAAATATCTTTGAATGTGTTTAGTTTGTTAACTATAATAATGCTGTCTCGTGGCGCCTCTGTTTGATTCTATAGCGGATAGAACCCAGTCCCACTCTACATGTGTTTTTTCTCTCTAATCCACTTCACTCGTGTATATGAATACTGAATGCTCTCGTGTGCTGCTAATGCTCAGGGTGACGGTGAACCAGATCCAGCTGAAGCTCCCGGCAGAGTCTCTGGAGGACTGGAAGCGCCGTGGCTTTGTGGATTACGTGGTTCTGCTGGACTGGTTCAGCTGCGTCTCTGATCTCAAACTGGGCACCACTCTACAGAGTCTGAAGGATGCTCTCTATAAGGTACTGTAGGGCTGGCACTGTATCTCCAGCTCATCGTGTGTGTGTGTGTGTGTCGTATCTGATGTGTGT